TCCAGAGTGCCCACCCCCCCTCCCCATTGGATGTTATATGGCGTGAGGTCACGCCTTCCGGAGGGGGGCGTTATGTCAGACTCTGTTCCATGTTTTGTCTGTGTCTTGCTCCCCAGGTGTTCCTTTCCCATGTTTAATTTGTCCCAGGTGTTCCCCATGATGGTTCATGGATCCCAGGTGTGTCTCGTCATCCCCTCCTCCTGTGTGTATTTAAAGTGTTCCCAGTCCCTAGTTCTCTGTCCGCTGTGAACGTCTTCGTGTGAACGTCTTCCTGTGTTCGTCTCCCTTGGTGCAAATAAAGTCTTGGTAAAGTATTCTCCAGCGTCTCCTCGTTCCTCGTGTGTGCATCGTGACAGAGGAAGCATGATTAATTTTTTTAACATTATTTTAAAAATAATTATATATACTAAATTAACACTTTACATTGATATCCTTAATTAAAAGCAACATTTTATTCCCTGAAACTACAGATAAGCTATCTAATTATACGTTTACGCCTTTTGTGTGAATAAGTACGTAGACAGGCAGATGGGGGAGAGGACGCATGTGCCAAACACCATCTGGGTACAAACACGCGCCTGCTCCGGCTCTCTCAACCACTCAATACAAATTTTGCCAGTGGAACCCTTTATTTATTCCTTTAGTTATTGCCAGTAGCAGTGGTAGATTGGGTTTCATGATATTCCATAAAATTAGTGAGGTTGTTTACAAATTTCACTATGGAGTATTTTAATTAATTGACAATGGGTGGCTTTGTCTTTGTTAATTTGCTAGTATGTGACATTAATGTTATTATATTATTAAAGGCTGTTGCAAATGTTAACAATTGATGCCTTGGATTATATGAATAAATGTTTTAATCATTTGGTTATATGCATTAGATGCGGCTTTTAGAGTCTAGAGCTACTCTAGGCTATAAAGGGAGTAAGAACTCTTTGTTGAAAGTCAATTAAAATGCTGAGGTAATGTCTTCTGGGTGTGGCCTCGGATAATTGCTGCGGTTACCCTGTGCCTTTAAACTGCTAGATGTCAATTTTGCTGAGTGGGAACAGTGTATCAGAGGCATTTTTCATCATGTCAGGTACCCTCTATGAATTCAATGTCATGAATTCTGTTCTGTTGGCATAAGGTTGTGTGCATTATTGGACCAAATAAAAAAGCTATACTGTATATACTGTACAGCATAAAATCCCTCAGCATTCCTTGTATGTACACACGTGATCAGAAGTGTTGGTACCCTTGGTAAATATGACCAAAGAAGGCTATGAAAATTCATCTGCATTGTTAATCCTTTTGATCTTTTATTTAAAAATTCACAAAAATCTAACCTTTCATTGGAGAATAAGAATTTAAAATGGGGGGAAATATTATTTTGAAATTGTAGGTGGGGGGAGTGAATGTATAGCGCTCTCTCCCACCTTCAATACCACGTCTGAGGTGCCCTTGAGCAAGGCACCAAACCCCCAACTGCTCCCCGGGCGCCGCAGCA